CCTCACCACTCCCAGACGAAGCCTTTGCCCATGCAGCCGTTGCATCCACACCAGCAAGCACCTCACCATGTGATTGCTGTGGCTGCTGCACCTTCTTGACTGTATCCAGGGCTCCAGCAGTTGGTGCAATCTCCTCTCCTCCCGCAGTTGCCTTAGCCGCTGCCGCTGCCTTTGCCGTTGCTGGAGGTTTCCCATTCCAAGGGATGATGGGCAGCTGCCACAGGTCCTTGATGCAGCTGCTCTTCTCCTCCAAATCCCACAGCAGCAACTTTCTAAGCTTTGCACGGCAGCTGGTTGGGCCGAACGTGACTTTGGCCTTGCTTTTCTGCAGCCGGCGCACAGAGAGGAGGTTAGCGGATAAACCTTCAACCAACAGCACATTTCCCAGCCCCACAAGCCCCCCATTAGCTCCCATAACCTTGGCATTCCCAACACCAATTACAGGGAGCAAGGCACCTGAAGCGGCAGCCACAAACTTTATCTTCCCAGGGGGCTTCACCTCATCAAGCAAATCTGCCCGTGGAGTCATGTGACTCGTGCAACCTGAATCGATCACCCAATGAGTGAGGGGGTGCATCACAACCTTCCCAACTGAACCCACATCACCCCCACTCCCTTGCACATCCTCAACCATGAGGAACATCCCAGGGTCGGCTTTACCTTGTGCACCATCACCTTGTGCACCTGAACCTTGCACAGCACCACCTCGTGCACGTTCACCACTTGGCGGCTTCATGCCTGGAGGTGCCCATCCTTCAGGCCGGCTGAAACACTTGAACCACGGGTGTCCAGCCTTGTTGCAGTACCAGCACGCACCCTCCATTCGGGTGCTCCCCCTGCCACCAGAGCTCTCATGCCCCTCGTTGTAGTCATCTCAGCCTCTTCCTCTGCCAAAGCCTCTCCCACGGCCTCGGCCTCTCCCTCCCCCTCTCCCCCTGCTGCCTCCTGCAGCTCCATACCCCTCAGCAGTTTTGTTGGCAGCACCACCTCCCGTGTGGCGCCTGCGGAAGTCCTCCTGCAGGATCTGCTGCCGTAGCCACTTAGGCGTCCACTTGTCCTGCTGAGCGTTGAGGGTGGGGATAAGGTTGTCCCACGAGTTGTCGAGCACCGAGATGATTTTGGTGCACTGCTGCATTTCCGACACCTTGCTGCCCGCCGCTGCCATCCTCGCATAGGTGTCCTTGATCTTGTCAAGGGCCGGCTTCACATCATCTCCCGGCCGCATGGAGAGGGAAGCCAGCTCCTTCTCCAATACGATCACCATCGGCAGCGTGTTGGGTTGAACCACGTTGCGTAGCAGCTTCCACGCCTTCGGTCCCGAGTCATCGAGCTCCACCAAATCCTTGATGTGCTGGAACATGTTGTTGTTGACCGACTGTAGAATCAAGTCGTACAGCACCGCGCTCCGCTCAATCCACCAATCGCGGGCATCTCCTTCCTCGGGCATCTTCTCCTCTCCCATAGCAAATTTCAGCAGCTTGTAGCGCTTGAAGGCGCTCCTCATCCGCCCACTCCATTCTTCATAGTTGGAGCCATCCAATGCCTCAATCTTGGATGGTGGCGGCTCACTCTTCTTCTCAGCTCCTTCTCCACTCCCTTGACTCATCTCCTCTGCTCCCAATCAGAGGTTTCAGCTCCCCCCCTTTGCTGGTCACAATGTAGATCCACACAATCTTCACAAGTGTCGGCGCCAACGAAATTTCGGCAGAGTTTCCCCTTAGCGGAAGTCACGTGCAACCTCTAGAACTCCACTTAGGCACGCCCACAGGCCATGGTGGGTCTAGGAGGGTCTTCACACTTCAGTAGACTCTCCACAAAGTCCTTAACCAGCTCTGATACCACTTGTTAAAAACTAAGGACGGAGTCTATGAAGATTAGGTGCCCAAATTTCTCAAAATCGTTGGTCTCAATTTCTGGACAGAAACGTCGACTTCACAAGAAACGTTGTCGACAAAAGGTGCACTTTTAGAATCCCACGAAATTCGAATATGTTGTATCCCTAGACCGTGGCTACATTTCCCAATTTGAATCGTATCAAATTATGAAGCATATCTCGAGTTATGATTTTCGGCGCACTAGGGGGTATGCTGCCACAGAAATTTAACTCGATCACAATTAACTCACAAGTCCCACAAAAGAACATTCGAGTAGCACTAAACCTGGTAGTAGGGGAAGAGGAGGACGAGAGGGAAGGTCCAAAGAGAGAGTCTCCAACCAAGGAAACCCCATGCCACACAATTCCCTTCCCCATAGGCAACAACTTTGACCTTTGTCACTTTCCAACCCATGCCATCCACCTCACCTCAACTTGGCCACACTTACCAACCTGGTTTGGCTTCACCCAACCTCTTGGCAGCATCTACAGTGATGGGTTCGAATTTCCCAACCCCCACAAGTCTGTACCCCATATTGAGTCAATGCCACAACTTCCCAAAGTAGCTGCAACCAAAATATATAAGCATACGAACTTCAATGTTCGTAACTTTCTTGGTTGTGCTCCGATCGCGACGATTCATGGTTCGTCGGAAAGCTCTTGAGTAGAGGAATCACTTCAGATATCTGCTCAAGCCAAATAACATACACATACACACACACAAACACACACACACACACACAGAGAAAATCCAAACCACACAAGACACAAATTTCTTGCACACGCTCACACCACGCATGCAACGCACAAACACATGATGGGAGGCACACAGACGTGAATGCATATGGTTGCATCACACAACAGGGCCGCAGGTAGGCGACGGGGCCGTAGGGCCGCAGGTAGGCGACGGGGCCGGGGCCGCAGGAAGGCGACGGAGTCGGGGCCGCAGGAAGGCGACGGGGCCGGGGCCGCAGGTAGGCGACGGGGCCGTAGGGCCGCAGGTAGGTGACGGGGCCGTAGGGCCGCAGGTAGGCGACGGGGCCGTAGGGCCGCAGGTAGGCGACGCGGCCGCTGAAAGGGCGGCGACGGGGCCGCGGAAGGGCGGCGACGGGGCCGCGAAGGGGCCACGAGGGGCCTGAAAGGGCGGCAACGGGGACGCTAAGAGAAAGTTAAGGGGCACGCCACGGGGCGTGCCGAACACAGAGTAGCAGCGGAAGCAGTAGGGTGGGTCCACAGGCCAGGACCGTAATCACTCTGATAGCATGTCAAAATCTAGCAAGTCAAGTTGGGCTTAGGAGCCATGGCTAGTGAGTTCGAGGGTGTTGAGGAAAGTATCGAGAGAGTTGAGAAGGAGAATGAGGTTCAATAATAGCAAAGAGATACAACATATAGTCAAGAAACTAGAGGTGCACCACCAAACAAAAGACAAGATAAATACAGTACACCTAAACCACAAGCAGTTACATAAAATAACTTTGACATCCCTCAGTCTCAGCAGTAGCAAAAACCAAGTCGTCAACGTACAAGAGGACGTAGAATGGCGGCAGAGAGGTGACGGTGCGTAGAAACAGCTACGGGTCACCAGTAGAAGGAGAAAACCCAAGAGCCGCAAGAGTCATCCTCAGTGTGTCGTGCCACTCTCGAGGCGCATGGCGATGACCGTAGACTGGCCGCTAGAGGCTCCACTGGGTACCAGCAGGAAACGACCCAGTGAAGCCAGGTGGGCGGCGCAGCCAGATCTCCTCCTGCATGCTGCTCTGTAGGAAGGCTGTATTGAAGTCAAGAGAGTGAAGCTCGTAGTCACGCTGAGCAGCAATGTGCAGTAGTACCCGAAGAGTGGTCATCTTAGGGGAAGGGGAGAAGGTCTGGAAGAAGTCAACTCCCTCTCGCTGACTGAAGCCTCGTGCAACACAACGCGCCTTGAAGACAGGCGGAGAACACGGCGGTCACTTCACCCTGAAAATCCACATGCCACTGACGATGTTCGCCCCTAGTGGGGGAACCTCGTCGACGTAGGTGCATATGGACTTCCAGGAAGCCATCTCTGCGTCCATGGCTGTCTGCCAATGAGAGTAATAGGGACCCTCTATCGCCTCTACGTAACGCGGGGTTGGGATGTCTGGTGCATTCGGGTCTCCCTCAGGGACAAGCAGCATGGACACAAGATGAGGTAAAGCAGGGGCAAAGCACACAAACTCCTCCTGTCTATCCTCAAGGACGTCCGTGCCCAGAGCACACTCACCCCCGATGGAAGTAGGACAGACAGACTCAGACTCAGCAACAAGACTAGCGGCGTAGTCTGGACGACAGGCGGCAGCAAAGTCAACAAGCTCAGCAACTAGGGCGGACGCAGCAATGGACTCAAACGAAGGGTCACTGACAACAGTAGTGAGAAGACGCGTGCCTTTAGGACTGGCAGCACGAGCAAGGTCTGACGGTGGGTCAGGGAAGTCAGGAAGAGAGGACGCAGGAGGAGACGGCTGAGGGACACGCTGTGGAGCAATGGAAGGACGAAGTGCCATCTAGTGTGTGCCTGGGACAGCAGGAGGACGCTGACGCGTTACACGACGTCTAGTGCAGACAACGCAAACATGCGACACAGGACGAGACTCAGGAGACGAAGGACGAGACTGAGGCTCACAACGCTCCGTAAGACCACTAGTCGGCCCAGAGTAAGGAGAAGGACCAGGCAGTGGAGAGGCTAGCTGTAGCTGCGACTGCGACGGGGCAGGCTGTGGACACAGTAAGGGAAGAGTGGGACTAGTAGAAGGGGGGAGGCCAAGAACCTGCTGAAAAAGTGGAAAGAAAAACGGCCGCAGCCACGCAGCGCCTCCAAAACCAGTAGAGACAGCACCAGTACTCCCAGCTCCAGGGTCTCCAGCTCCAACTCCCGAAGAACCACCAGCTCCAGCTCCAGCAGCACCTCCAGCAGCTCCAGCTCCTGCAGCACCTCCAGCATCAACAGCTCCAGCGCCGCCAGCTCAAACTTCCGCAGCACCACCACCTCCAGCACCTCCAGCAGCTCCAGCTCCAGCAGCACCTCTAGCAGCAACAGCTCGAGTGCCACTAGCTCCAACTCCTGTAGCATCACCAGCTGCAGTAGCTCCAGTACCTCCAGTACGAGCACCTACGGCAGCTCCAGCACCAGCAGGACCTCCAGCATCTCCAGCTCCATCAGCACCTCCAGCTCCAACAGCTCCAGTAGCACCAGCTCCATGGGCTCCAATGGCAGCCCCCTCAGCTCTATCAGCTCCTCGCTTGAATCTCCATCTGCGAGAAAACCACTCGCGCAGCTGCGGTGGAGAGAGAGGCTCCCGCCGAGACGAGGCACCTGCAGGAACTCCACCAGACTCAGCACCCCCTGTCTCAGCAACCGCAAGCTCAGCACCCTCAGGCTCAGCACCCCCAGGCTCAGCACCCCCAGGCTCAGCACCCTCAGACTCAGCAACCCCAGGCTCCGAACCCTTAGACTCAGCAACCCCAAGCTCAACAACCCCAGAGTCCACACGCTCAGGCCCAGCACCCCCAGGCTCCGCACGCTCAAGCTCAGCACCCCGAGGCTCTGCACGTTCAGGCTCAGCACCCCCAAGCTCCGCACGCTCAGGCTCAGCACCTCCAGCAGCACCACCCCCAGGAGCAGCACCAGATTCAACCGCTACCTCGACAAGCTCCACAGCGTCTACCTGAGACACACCAGAGGGAGCAGGACCCTGAGGGGGGAGGGGGTCTACCGGAGGAGGACCTGGTGCAAGGAAGAGCGGCGGGGGGGGGGAGAGAGGCAGTGCGGTAGGGGAAGAGACGGTAAAAGGGAACCGACTCGTCGAACGTGACGTCCTGAGAGGGCAGGACACGGCGCAAGGTGGGGTGGTAAAACTGCCAGCCAGGCGCGTCAGGGACAAAGCCAAGGAAGACGCAGGGAATAGCACGGGCGGAGAGCTTGTCCGCGGTAGTATTGCGGACAAAGGCTTGACATCCCCAGACCCGGAACACCGACGCATCGCCAACCTTCCCCGTTGTGAGGATCTGGTTCAGCAAAGATAATTCTATTGAATGATCCACCAGGGTACAAGGCGAGGCTATATATAGGCTCGACACAAAGGCAGTAACCCTGGTATTACTAGAAGGTTCCGCGGGTCGCGAAGCGTCCCGAATGGGTCCTTCCCAAATTCGGTAGAAGGCAATTCGGTGGCAACCTAAAAGCCTAGAATTCAGTGCACTCAACCTAGTTCGGTGCCTATAACTAAAATAAGATAGTAAAAGCAACGAGCCTAGGAAATCTAGCAAAAGCAAGCTAGATAATGCATAATTAAGCTAAGCTAGATAATGCATAATAAAGCAAAATCAAGCTAGGAAATCATAGCAAAGCCGTCGTACTCTCACACGTCCCCCCCTCAAAGCTGGGTGGCGTGAGATACACCCTGCTTGACAGGATAGTCCTTGAGAGCACAGCGTGCATTGCCCATATCAATTTCTGCAACCCAACTGTCCTCTGAGGGGTCATATCCCTTCCAGCGCATTAGGAACTCGAGCGTGTTGCCGCGTCTGCATCGATGAGCGAGCACTCGTTCCACCTCGTACTCTGGTTCATCCTGTACGAGAACAGGTGGTGGTGGCGGTAGCTGGCGTCTTGTGAACTGCTGGTTGGAGTCCTTGTAGGGCTTTAGTAGTTGAACATGGAAAGCGTTGTGAAGCTTCCACATAGTAGGTAAGCGCAAGCGGAATGTTACTGGTGTCACCGTCGCCTCAACGTGAAAGGGACCACAGAAGCGAGGCCGGAGCTTCGACGGAAGGTGAGACAAGTCCAAGTTTTGCGTGTCGAGAAGCACCTGATCTCCGACTGCTACTGAGTGATCTCTTCACTGTCGATCGGCATACTGCTTCTGGGAGTTCTGCATCATGGTGAGACGTCACTGAGTCTTCTCCCATGGCTGATGCATGGTGGTGACGAAGTCGTGTGCAGCTTGGACGTGTGCCGGTGTAGTTGGCTGCTATGGTGTAAGTGGTTCCCGTCCGTAGCTCAGGAAGAAAGGAGATTTTCCTGTGGCCGCATGCGACGCGTTGTTGTAAGCGAACTCAAGCGTTGGTAACTGTTGATCCCAGTGGCTGATGTTGTCCTTGCAAGCTGTGCGTAGTAACTGTTCAACCACCTGATTGAGTCGCTCTATCTGTCCGTCAGTCTGGGGGTGGTACGCTGAAGACATCGCAAGCTTAGTCCCCAACAGTCCTATGAGTTCCCTCTAGAACTTACTAGTGAATTTTGGGTCTCTTTCTGATATGAGTGTAGCGGGGATGCCGTGGATGGTGATGATGCGAGCAGAAGAAGAGGCGAGCAGTTGCTTCAGCTGTAGCCATGGCATTTGTCGGGATGAAGTGACCAATTTTAGAGAACTTATCGATCACCACGAGTATAGCGTCATGCGCTCGTGAGGTCGAAGGAAGTCCCGTGATGAAGTCGAGGCGAACGACTTGCCATGGCTGCTCCGGTACGGGTAGAGGATGAAGTAACCCTGTTTTTTTCTGCTTGCTGCTCTTCATCCGGTGGCACGTATCGCATGAGGTGACGAACTGCTGCACGTCTGCTGCCATCCGGGGCCAGTAGTAATACTTCGCTATTCCCGCTAACGTCTTGTTGCTCCCGAAATGTCCCGCGTATGCCACATCATGGAACTCCTCCAATAAGATCTGTCGGAGCGGGGCATAGTTCGGTACCCAAATCTTTCCCGATCCCTTTCTTACAGCTAAGTCATTCTCCCACTATAACAGCTTCTGGTTCTGTGCTGTAGCGATCTATGCATCCACGGAGTACCCATGTTGGAATAGACCCTTGAGCAGAGGGTTCATCCCGTCGAGCTGGATGCCTGCTACATGTCCAGGGCGGCTCAACGCGTCTGCCTTGTTGTGTAGCCTAGGCTTGTAGACGATGTCGTAGTGGAAATGGGTCTCCAAGAAGTCCACCCACCGCACCTGTCAACGTGAGAGCGTAGGCTGCGACTTCAGGTACTTGAGGCTGCAGTGGTCAATGTAGACTGTAGTCTTGGCTCCCTCTAGGTAACACCTCCATGCCTTAAAGGTTGTGACTATCGCTAAGGCTACCTTGTCATGGATAGGGTAGTTCAGTTCTGCTCCATGTAGCTTCTTACTGAGGTAGGCGATGGGCTGCAAACCGCGTCCGTGATCTTGCATCAGTACTGCTCCGACTGCTTGGTCACTAGCGTCTGCTTCCACCACGTAGTCTTTGTCTGGATCCGGTAGGATGAGTACTGGCGCTGTAGTCAGTGCTGTCTGTAGCTGCTCCATGGCTTGCTGTTGAGGAGTATCCCATTTATAGGGCGTATCCTTATTCAGTAGGTTGGTCAGTGGCGCTGCAATCTTAGCATACTGTGGCACGAACCTGTTGTAGTAGTTGGCGAAGCCTAGGAACTGCAGCAACTCCTTCACGTTCTCCGGTACTTTCCACTTCTTGACAGCCTCGATTTTCCGCGGATCCACGTGTAGGCCCTCTGCACTCACCATGTGCCTGAGAAACTGCACCTTCTCCAGGGCGAAGTCGCTCTTCGATAGCTTCACGTAGAACTTGTTTTTCCGCAGGATCTCGAAGACTTTCCGCAGATGCTCCACGTGCTCCTTCATGGTTTTGGAGTAGATTAGTATGTCGTCCAGGTACACTACCACGCACTTGTCCAGCAGGGGCCGTAGGATGTGATTCATCTCCGCCTGGAACGTGGCCGGTGCATTGCAGAGTTTGAACGGCATCACTAAGTATTCGTAGGAGCCGTATCTGGTACGGAACACCGTCTTGTGGATCGAGTTGTCCGCCATCTTGATCTGCCAGTAACTCGATCGTAGGTCTAGCTTCGAAAACACCATCGCACCACGCAGTTGGTCTAGAAGATCGTTTGTGCGCGGTATGGGGTATTTGTTCTTGACTCTCTGTTTGTTCAGTGCCCGATAATCGATGCACATTCATAGACTACCGTCCGGTTTTGGAGCCGAGTTCGGCTTTTCCTCCTCTGCTGCTGTCATAACCAGTGCTAAGTAACCCGTATTACTCTCGTTCACCGTCCGTTCGAACCGCGCCAGTGTCGTTTCAGGAACATCTCCTCTATCCGTCCAGCTTCGCAGCTCCACACATTTCCCGTTGTTGTAGATACGTGCCTTCCGATTGACCCAGTCTATCTCGGGGTTGAACCGCTTCAGAAAATCATGCCCCAAGATGAAGTCTAATCCCTTGATATTCGTGATCGGCAACGTCGGCTTCCACCTTAACGCTCCTATCTTCAGCTGCAGTGTTGACTCGCCGTGGATGGGAAGCTTCGTACCGTCCACCATCGTTTCTGTGAACTGTGTCTCCTCCGATGATTCTCCGATTTTCTCCAACGTCTCGCGGTCACACACCGAGTGGGACGCACCACTGTTCACCAGTGCCGGGAAGCGTCGCCCGTTGCAGATTACCTCGAGTACTAGTGGCTGCTGCCGCTCCGAGTAGCTGTAGATGGTGTTGCTTACAGGATCATAAGGTAGATCAAATGTATCGTCCCTTGGTCTTGCGCTCGAAGCTGCTGACTCCATATCAGTTTTCAACCTAGCAGGGTTAGAAGGATTTATCCGAGGCTGGAACAGCTTCTCCTGTGCCTGGAACCTTCCCCTAAGCCTTTGCAGCGGTGTGGGCTTTGCCTGTGGGGAACAGGGAGCCTTTGAACAGTGCTGCTGGGAGAGAATATGAACTCCTCGGAACGCTCGACCCTTATCAGCGCTCCGGAGTAGGGTCCCCATATTACCCGGTACCAGTTTAATTTCTGACTCTCCCTTAAAATAGGCTTGAAAACCACGATAAGTAATATTCTTACTTGTCGCTGTGTACGGCTGGATTTTCCCAATCGGTGCAGAGTCTTAATTGGCGGAGTCTCCATTTGTCTCGGCGATTTCCCCTGGAGCCGGCTGATCGTGACGTTTTCAATTCGCGCCACCATATTCTCCTTTTTTCGCCCTCTCCAAAGTTGCTACGTTGTCCGTTTTCTGCTTCGGGGGTGCCAAACTGTTCTTGTCCCTCAGCTCCGCACGTACTTTCTTCATTTTCCAACACGCCAAGATACGATGTCCTGTAGCGCCGCAAAACTCGCATGTCGCATTTTTTGCTAGCCGCTGCATTGAATCGCCCTTGTCGTTCTTCATCAGGTCGGCAGTCATGGGTGATGCCAATCACTCCATGCCACTATTTGGCTGGTTGCGTCGTGTTCCGTAGTAGCTACTGTCCATCGCGTCAAACTGTTCGATCAGTGCTGCCCGGAACTGCGTCCACGTCCCTTCGCCTTGGACAAATCTATTGCTAATGCACTATAGAGCTGGGCCTCGTAAGAGTGTTGCTGCGAGCCGTATGCGCAATGCGTCTTGGTTGAGGGTCGTGCATCCAACGGCTTCGAAGAATTTTTCTAATACAGCTACAAATCGGCCGACATAGCTCCCTTTTGTGCTAGGATCGAACGCCTCTGGTTGCCTCAGCTTCTCTGCTTCGAGGTTAACTGTAGATGCTGCCGTTGTCGCAGGTACAATTGTCGGTGTTGCCGCCGTCGCTGCTGCTGCTACGGCTACCGATTGGTTCGCTAGGAGTTTTTTCGAGTCGTAGGAGCGCCGCACGTATCCGCTTATGCTCAGCACGTAACTCCGCGATTTTATCTATAATGAAATCTCTATTTCCCTCCCTTTTGACAATTTACAGAAAGAAGCGCGACGAAAATAATTGAATTCTGGGTGCTGGTCGACTTACTGCGAATCAAATTGACTGTAGATCGACGACCGCAAATTTGGTAGGTCGCGTAAATCTCGGCCGTTGAGGAGAAACTCGATCTGACGGTCGAAATTCCAACCCTTTTGGGCGAAATTCTCTAGGCCGTTGAGATTGAAATTGATATGACCGTCAAAATTCCAACCTTTTTACCAATATTCAAAACCGAATCGAGGGGGACTTAGAAAAATTGCGCGGAAATGGTTTCACATACCC